GTCCGGGTTCCGACGCTCGATGGGGCGTGACCCTTGGCGCTGCCGTTGCTGCTCGAGGTTTCCACGTCCATGCCCGTCTCACTCGGCGGAGGCAGCATCTTAGGGGACGTGGTGGTAGCCTGCTCAATGTGGCGGTGGATGGTGGACTCGAGCGAACGCAGGACCTCGAGCAGAGAATGGGATTGCTTGGTGACGGTGGCCAGACGGTCCATCAGAACGGGCACCTCCGAGTCGGCATTGTCCTGGCTCAGACGGTCGACGAGGGCCTCGAGATGGGCGATGCGGTTGTTCTTTCGCTCGCGTGCGACACGCTGGGCCTTGCGATCCTGCTCTCGCTTCTTCTGGCGGCGTGCCGTGGCCTTGTCCACGGGTGCGTCGTTGCCGTTGGGCTCGCCGACCGCTTGAGCGGGTGGAGGCGCCATTTTACGGATGACGGGACCGGGATGGGAGGGGTAGAGAGTCAGTTGCGGTCGATGGAGATGGCCGTCCTCAGGTGCGACGACGTTGGGCGGCAGGCATGTTTCTGTGGATAAAGTGGACGAGTGAGCATGGAGGTTTTGGAGATGAGGAGTTTGGTAGGCAAGCTTTCAGGGCAGAAATGAGCCAAGGGAGGTGCTGGTGCCGGTCGATAAAAACGACGCGTCGGGGTAGCAGCGGCCCATGGGATGCCTGCGTAGTGCCTACCCGGGCGTGCCTAGCGCCTGCCCTTGTCTGCCTAGGTGCCTGGCTACCCTCTCTACCTTGGGTAGGTACCCAAACTACCTTACCTGCCCGCCTTAGGTACCTTACCTAGGGAGGTACCTACGGAGGTACCTAGGTAGGTAGGTCCCTCAGCAGGTAACCTAAGCATCCCGAACGATCCCACTACGCATCGGCATTCACGGGTGCACCTTGTCCCAAAGACCCAAGATCTACTGGGACCTAAGCACCAAGAGACGCGCAGTGGTCCCCACTGGTTAACGCGGGGAAGCTACAGGGGCTCTACCGGCCACGCTGCTAACCGCATCCGTCCAAGCGCCGACCATCGCACCTCAGCTTGGCTTCAGCTGCTCATGGATTTCGGACCACCGACGACACCGACGACACCGAACGACTGGATGAGCAAGACGCAAAAGAAAGGTGATGCACATGATGATGTCGATTTCACTGCTTCTGCTGCTGCTGCTACTAATGGTGCTGCTTCTGCATGCATGGTTCCGTAAAGGAGGATGGTGCAGGCCAGAAAAACTAAATCCAGACTTGCTATGAACTAATGAAACCCTACCCACCCACCCACCACCTCTGCCTTACGCCCTACCAAGCCGAAGACAAGCCTACCAGTGTGTCTCTCCTGGTGGCTTGCACCTCGGATCGAGACTACGATGCGACGGCAGCTAGCCAGCACTTCCCACTACTCAGGGGTTCGCCACCTCCTTTCTTCGCGTGAACACCAAGTCCAGCTTGGATGTCGCCAGCGTGAAGGTGTCCTGCAGTCCAGCGGGAAACGTGCTAGGATCGAAATCCTTCGCAAAGCCCACATCGTACGTACGCAGGATCTGACTCGTGACAAACCTTAGCTCCATGAGGCCCAGCTGCTTTCCAACGCACGAGTATCGGCCTATCAGGAAGCAAGCATTAGTACGCTTCCCAGATCTTGAAGAGGAATTTTTGAAGCGGCAAAAAGAATAAAAGAAAGAAAATAGACAAAGCCGAGTACGAAGACGTTGAAAAAAAAAAGAATAGAAAAGAAAGGAACAGAAATCAAGGACACATGAAAAATAAACACTTACCAACAGAAAAAGGCGCAAACACCGAAGCATCCTTCGTCAGCTCAGGCGCCGTCGTCCACCGCTCCGGCACAAACTCGTCCGGCCGCACAAACACCCGCGCGTCCCGGTTCAGCGTGTACGACGGGACCTGCACGACCGTGTTGCCGGGGATGAAGACGTCGCCAATCTGCTGGCCCTCGGGCGGGCTCATGCGCTGCACGCCCGACGGCACGGGCGGGAACAGCCGCAGCGACTCGTCGATGCACGCCTGGAGGTACTTGAGCTTCGAGAGCGACAGGTGGTCGGCCTGCTCATGCTCGGCGTGGTACGCGTCGAGGTCCGCCTGGAGCTTGGCCATGACCTGCGGGCTGCGCGCCAGGTTGTAGAAGAGGCAGGTGAGGGAGGCGGCTGTCGTGTCGCTGCGGGGTCACGTAAGCGGCTGCATACACTTTGACATGGCACGAGCTAAGGGGGCGGCTGAAGGGCGTGTCTTACCTTCCAGCAACGACAATCAGGTGCGCATCGCCGACGAGGTTGACCATGTCCTGCTTCGTCGGCTTCTCGAGGGTCTCGTAGTCGTTTAAAATTCCAGAGAAAACATCTGGAATCTCCGGCTTGTTCTCCCGCCTCTGTTTGACGTGCTGGTGAAGCCACGCTTGAAACTTGAGGTGCTCATGATTGAGACCCGGAATTTCCTTGAAGAGCGGGAAAATCCACACGAGGTGACTGAACGCAGCGACGGCCTGCATGCTGGTGTGCACGGCCTGCATGTAGTAGTGCACGATGCCGTCCTTCATCATGTCGAAGCTGCGGCCGAAGGCGAGATCGCCCATGACGTCGAAGCTGTAGAAGTTGAACCACGTTGACACGTTGATGGGCTTGCCTTCTGTCTGCTTGATCTGGTTGAGCAGTTGATCCGTGTACTTGACAACGCGGGGTTCGTAATCACGGAGCGCTGAGGATATCTTAGCTTTTCTGTTGATAGACAGAAAAAAGCTGTGGATGGATGCACTCACCCTTGGAACCAAAGCCCTTGTCCCAGGTCTTGCGGCGTCGGCTGTGCTCCTTCTTGTCGCGGACCAGCTGGAGGGAGACGACGGGATGGAGAATATTGTACCATGGCCCCTTGACAAATGGCGACGAGTTTGAATGGATGTGGTGGAAAAACGAAGGGTCTGCGATGGACAGTTCAGAGGGACCTGTGCTCTCATGTTAGCGTTCGTCTCTTCAGATCCCGAATCCTGGTTGACGACACCCACCGATTCGAACGATATCGCCATACTGCTTGTGCAGATCCTGCACTTCCTGGAACAGCTGAAAGTTCTTTACAGAACGCCGAGTGATGTAAAAGTTTGACAACCTGGCGGCAAATGGTCCGGGGAAGCGGTTCAATCGATGAAACGCCGCACGATACGTCAAGAGACTGGCGTAAAGGCCCGCGACAAAGGAAAACGAGAGCTGCGCTGCCATCTTCCACGACTCCCACGCCGTGGCAAGGCCGTCCACGTCGGATTTGAATATGTACACTGCGAGCAGCCCCTGCGTGGCCAGAAACGCGGCGAGCAGCTTCGTCGTCTGAAGATCCCAGTCGCCGACGCGGAAACAAAAGAGGTGAGCTAGCGCACCAAACGCGAACGGCACGGCGTTGCGTTGCACGCCGTCCGTGGACGATATGAACTGCGCAAGTGACACCATATTGGAACGAACGATGTGGTTTTCTTGCGCTAGAGACGAAGCACCAATCTGTCTACACCTTGGGCTGTGAGGCCGACCATCTAGAGATATACTACATTCAGAGTCCACGACGTTACATGGTTACCGGCCTGATCATCACCTCAGGCGCTCTGCGTGTGTTTTCTGACTCGGATGTTTGCGTAGCTGCTGGTTGTACTGTCGTTGGAACAAGAATGGACGAGTCAGATTTTCTGACGTCGCCGTCCACGCGGGCAACGGGCGGTCCAAGGGTTCGATGTAACGCCAGATACAGCCTCAAACTACCCCGGCTTTAACTACCCCACGTTCCCCGCATCTTGGACCCCAGTGTCGTGCTATAGCCGCGGGTTTATTAATGGTGTTGTTTTGTTTTGCCGAGACGAGGGGTCCACGATGAGGAAGATTATGGAGACGCGGGGGAGGCGACGAGTCAGCCATGCAAGAGGAGCTGAGGAGCCGCACGTGGCGTGACATGACATACAACGGTCCGGAGTGGTTCATCGCTGCAGGAGTATGGAGAGTCTAGCTTGCGTTGCATAGCACAATATACAACATGGTAGTAAGGCTAACTGGTGATCCCATGCTACGTACGTCATTTGTCCCAAACAGTATGATTACAACTTGGGCGGTGATACCTTCCCAGCCCTGAATGTCTTAACCAATTGCCTGACTGCCAAGTCAAACATGACATCCTCACTGCCTCCGGGGATTCTGGCTCCAGGAACATCGCGATAGATCTCTGCGGCGATGATTAGTAAATGTTGACCAGCATAAGACACAGAGAGGGGAGGGGACAGTCTTACTCTCTACAAGCTCGCCCTGTCCCGATCGTGTATAGCCGTTGCCGCCAAAGAGGAGCACAGCACATCGAGCACATTCATCAAACACAATGCCAGCATTTGCCTTGCATAGGGCCGTCAGACCGCCGAGCTGAGCTTCCGCTTTCCGTCTTGATCAGGTGAGCGAGCTAGTAAACAAAAGCTCTCGATCCAGGCCTGTGCGCCTCGAAGCAGGGCGGCGCACTTGGACGAGTCGGTGGCATCACCACGGGCTGCTCGATCAGCGTCATGCCGAAACGCCTCGCGTTTCATGCAGTAGGCAAAAGCCGAGGCGAGGGCCACACGGGACTGCCTTTGTCACGCCGACGGAGATGAAACAGGCGCTCGTGGTTGAAGTTGTTCATGATGTATTTCATGCCGTGACCCTCGACGCCGATGAGGTTCTCGCGTGGTACCTTGACGTCGTCGAGCTCGATGTAGGTCGTGCCGGCCGAAACCTGGCCGGCGACCTTGAGACGGCGGCGGCTGACGCCGGGCTGATCCTTGAGGGGCACGACGAGGAGGGAGATGCCGGCGGGGCCGGACCCCTCACCGCCTGTGCGGACAGCCATGGTGGCAACGTCAGCCCAGAACGCGTTTGTGATCCACTTCTTGGAGCCGTTAATGACATAGTGCTTGCCGTCAGGGGTGAGCTCGGCAGTGGTGGTGATGTTGGCGACATCAGAGCCAGCTCTGGAGGAGGTGTTAGGGTCAACTGACTCGCTCTCAAGGGGGGCCAAACAGGCGCGCTCACTCGGGCTCAGTAATAGCAATACACGATCGCTTGCGGCCCAGGAGCAGATCGGGCAGGAACCGCTCTTGGAGCTGTGGATCGGCGTAGTGCAGCAAGGGAGGCACGCCGAACGCGATGCCGGTGGTGAGGGCGCCGGCTGGACCAGCTAGACCGGCGCGGCTCATCTGGGTCGGCACACTGTCAGGGCATCCGACGCCATATCGAGTGATTGAACCTCTTCAGGATAACGCACCTCATCCGCATAGACATAGCCGTGAAGGGCGTCGAACTCCTCCACAGGGACATCTCCGGGCAAATGGGTGATACCCAGCTTCTTCAGCCACTGCGCAGGCAAGGGAGCAGGCAGGGCTGGGAGGAGGAATTTGGCGGCGGCGAACTGGTCAAAGACGTGAGGGGGAACATCCTCGGCGGTTTCCCATTCCAGAGCGTGGCGATGGAGGTGCTCCTGGATGAACTTGCGACAGGCGACCTGGAATTTGCGATGCGTGTCTTTGAAGTAGGGAGAGGGCAGGCCTCGGAGCCACGAGGGCTCAGCGAGGGGCGCAGGGATGGATGTTGAGTCTGCGGCCATGGTTGTTGAGTTCGAGGAAGCTGCGTCGATGAATGTCTTGTGTGATCCGACCGGAGATGGATTATCGAATTGTCATGGTTTTCTTCAACGGAAAGTCGCTGTGCTGATATCACTTCCAGTTCACAGCAGAGGGCGACGCCTGCCTTGGACCTCGGCATCATGGACCGAATAAGGCTGGCAGCTCGTTGGGGGCAAGTGGCTGATGCGGGGTAGCTTGGGAGCTCCTCCCTCACCAGCTAGCTACCTAGGTATCTACGGAGGCTTACAGATTCCAGTGCTTGACACTGAAGGCATTCTCCCTTGCTGAAATCCAAGACATCACCAACGCGTTTCGCAAGGACCGTCAATTCATTCATGGTGCATTCAAACTCGCAAATACAATGCAATCCAGCACCCGTGCTGATGGATCCGCCATACTCCAACACCCCAAACCCGCTGATCGACCTGGACGACAGCATTAATCGCCCCGAAGGTCGAGCACGACACGACCCTGAATCTTGCCACTCTCGAGTTCCTCAAAGATCTATCGCGTAATGGTCAGCTGACACAGATTCGCTTTCGTACCGATCATCGATCGCCCAGACTCACGTTCGTCAGACTCTCCATGCGGCGCAGTGTGTACCGCGTCTTCACACGACCCTGCGCTGCCAGCTCGAGACACTGCTTCGCCTCGAGTCGGTTGCCCGTCTTGGTCGCTATGTCACAGTCAGCCCATCCATCCGTCCTTTCTCAGAAATGCCCGACGACCTACCGATGATGCGATGCTCGAATGTCACCATGTCGCCGATGCTGGGCAGCAAAGCGCCCTCCTTGTCCGGGATCCCCAGGCAGGCGACCGTCCCCCTGAACCCGAGCCAGGACATGCACTGCCCGTACGACTTGGAGCTCGCCGAGCACATGAGCGCAATGCGCGCGCCGCCGCCCGTGGCCTCCTTGATGCGCGCCGCCAAGTCGGCGTCCGACGCAAACGCCGCGAAGTCGACAAAGTCGTCGGCACCGAGCTCGCGACAGAGCGCCTCCTTGACGCCGGCGTCCACGGCCACGACGCGCGCCCCCAGCGCCTTGGCGTACTGCACACCCAGGTGGCCCAGTCCGCCGCCAGCGCCCGAGATGACGACCCAGTCGCCCACTCGAAGCCCCGCCGTCCTGAGCGCGGTGTAGACGCTGATGCCGCCGCACATGAGCGGGGCGGCGGACGCGAGGTCCAGTCCGCTCGGGATCGGCGTCGCGTAGCGTGCAGGGGTCGTGCAGAATCGCTGAAACGTCCCGGGCACCGTATAGCCCGAGATTTGCGTCTGCTGGCACGTCGAATCGCCGCCCTCGATGCAGTTGTCTTTGTGGGTCAGCGTTACGTCGCCACTATTCTCGCCATCGCTAGGCTTGCAGCAGTGCAATGCAGTGCAGCAGGGCGCAGTGCAGTGCAGGGAGCACAAGAACACCCGAGGGGAGGAAAAGGGGGGGGGGGACCGTACCACATGTCAGGCACGCATCGGCGGCGAATTTGATGCCCACGAAGGAGCCGACAGCCGGTGCCGTGACGCCTGGGCCAAGTGCTACAACCTCGCCTGCACCTTCGTGTCCGCCAATCTGCCCTGCAACCAAGACGGGGTCAGCAATCCAAGGGGGGGGCGGAATGAGAAAAAAAAAAAAAGAAAGAGCTCGAACGTTGCGAAATGGATCAATGGCATGACACACCTTGGGCAGTTGGTGGCACCGTGCTGAAAGAGTTCAAGCAAAAGGCGGCATCCGTGTGGCAGACGCCGGAGTAGTGCCTACAAAGAGTCAATATGGCCCCCGCCCCAAAACAAGTGGAACGGGCTCCATCCGTCACAGCCCAGAAGGGAGGAGCTTCGGTGTGTCTCACAGTTTGACAAGCACCTCACCCGGACCCGGTTCCGCAATGGGAAGCTCGACCACTGCCGTCTTGGTGGTGCCGGGTTCCAGGTACACGACGGCACGATTGCGCTGCTGCTGCCACTCGCCCATTTCGGAGGTGGGGGGAAGTCTGAAGTATGGTAAAGTAAAAATAGGGGTCCGTCAGGTTGATGTCGCAACGCGGCTTCACAAGTCCAATGTCTCATCGACTGCGGCTTTCATAGCTCTATCCATAGAGGTGATGCCTTATTATCTGCTTCCAGGGAGCCACCCTCCAAAACCCTGACTCGCCCTATCCTGATTCAGTAATCGTGGCCCGCTACCTCGGCACTAGTATCCTGATTCTTCACGATGGTGCCAAAGATGCCATGCTAGCTCGTGTCATGAATGCGGGGGAATGGAGTGCGGGGCATATTGCCACGGCTCAAAAGAGATCTCCGATGATGCTGAGCTCAGGGGCGCGCGCTATGTCCGATGCTCACGAGGAGTACATAGGAGATAACTGTCCTCTGGTCACCAGACCCTGCTTAGAGGGACCATACTCAAGATACCCCCTTTGCGTCTATCATCGGAACATTTTCTTTTTGACTGTCTTTCGAGCAGACAGGCCACTCTACCCTTCCTTAGCATTTCCTAATTCCAAACACGCAACATTACCGAAATCATGGTGGAACTTTGAGAATTTTGCCAACGTCGTTGACGGCCAGCTCAAGTCGACGGAGGGGACGCGCACAGGCATCAACCCCGCCACTCTTGAGCCCCTCGCTCCCGTTCCCGTCTCCAGCCCCGCGGACGTTGACGCCGCCGTTGAAGCCGCCGCGGGGGTGCCGCTGTGTGGGCCAAGGCGTCGTTCGAGGAGCGCCGCGAGGGCGTCAACAAGTATGCCGACAAGCTGGCCGAGCTCGCAAAACGAGTTTGCCGCCCTTCCTCACCCAAGGAGCAGGGCAAAGCCTTGTGGGGGGTCCAAGAAGTTTTGAAAAGTCTTGCTTTCCCTTTTGCTGATTAAATGTCCAGACCGCCCCGGCCCTTTTTTGAGGCCCAGCAGCCCGTTGGCACGCTCCAGGGGCGTTGGCCCAGTTGCCGTTCGGGGATGGAGATTGTCGGGGGAAGGCGAAAAAAACCCGCATCGGGGCGGGGATATGTTCCCATTGGGGTCTCCGGGGGCATTGGCCCCCTGGAAATTGTAAGTCGTCGTCCGTGATCAAGTGTCGGGTGCTCTTTTGCTGACCTGGGGACCAGTCCCCATCGTTCTCGGTCCGTACCTCTAGTGTCCTGAATCGAAGATGAGTGTACTGACCTCCTGCTCAGCGACCTTCAAGCTCGCCCCTGCCCTCGTCACCGGCAATGCCATCATCCTGAAGCCTTCGTGTGTAGTCAGATTGCCCATCCACAAGCTTTCACGCTAATGCGCCTTTAGCCCATTCACACCCTACTGCGGCCTCAAGCTCGCCGAGATCGCCCAGGAGTTCTTCCCGCCCGGTGTCGTGCAGGCGCTGAGCGGCGACGACAACCTCGGCCCCTGGCTGACGGCGCACCCCGGTATCCAGAAGGTCAGCTTCACGGGCTCGACGCCGACTGGTATCCGCGTCATGCAGAGCTGCGCCAAGACGCTGAAGCGCGTCACACTGGAGCTGTGAGTTCATTCGGCTTCTGAAGACCGTGACAGCTTGCTAACAGGGGGGGAAAAGGGGCGGCAACGATGCGGCCATTATCTGCTCTGACGTTGACATTGCGGCTGTCGCGCCGGCGGTGAGTGCACCACAGAAAACTATGACGAACCGTCCCACTGACGCACCTAGATCACAACGCTGGCCCTCTACAACTCTGGTCAGGTAAGTCAGCTGCACGTCCGCACGCGGCCACGAGTTTTTGTCTCACACAGTCGCAGGTCTGCATTGCCATCAAGCGCATCTACGTCCACTCGAGCATCTACCCGCAGTTCCTCGACGCCATGGTCGCCTTTGCCAAGACCATGACCGTCGGCGACGGCTCGGCCAGCGACACGGTGCTCGGCCCCGTCCAGAACAGCATGCAGTACGAGCGTGTCAAGGCGCTGATCGCGTCGATCGAGACCGAGAAGCTCAACGTTGCCTTTGGCGACGTCAAGGTCACCGCCGCCCAGGACAAGGGCTACTTCATCAGCCCCGTCATTGTCAGCAACCCGCCCGACGACGCCAAGATTGTCGTCGAGGAGCCCTTTGGTGAGTTTTGCTGCCTTGACACGTGGTGCTGTCGTCGTGAGAAAAGAAAGATAAAAATGGTCAAGCTAACAAGATGCAGGCCCCGTGTTCCCCGTGATGCAGTGGACCGACGAGGAGGATGTCATCCGCCGCGCCAACAACACGGACATGGGTCTCGGCGCGTCCGTCTGGACGAGGGACCAGGCGCAGGCGGACCGCGTGTCGAGGCAGCTCCAGGCCGGCACCGTGTGGATCAACACGCACCTCGAGCTGCGGCCCGACGCCGCCTTTGGCGGCCACAAGCTCAGCGGCGTCGGCAGCGAGCTTGGCATCAACGGTCTCAAGTCGTTCTGTAACATCCAGACCATCCACCAGAAGCTGGCTTGAGCGTGAGATGCGGGAGGGTAGATTGTTTTTGGAAGCATGAGCCAATGAATGTTTTGACTTGAATGACCTGTAACTCGCCCCTTTCCGCATGTGCATGTTTGCATGGGAGCATACTGGGTCAACTTGCCACATGTAGGCAGCTCTTCAGCCGCCAAGTGCGAGGGCTGGACTAGAGGAGCAAAGAGGAAAAAGACAAAGCCTTGTCGTCCTTGTTGTCCCGGTTGAGTGACGGCGTGCCCCTTGGCTCTTCCTCGTAACGGTTGGATGCCCAAGCACCCCTCCTCCCGCTACCTCTGTGGCTGTCATTCGCATTCTGTTTCCTCGCAATAGCCTCACTTTGAGATGCTGTCCACCACTCAATAGGGCGGCAACTCCTGCATGCCCCCCCCCCCCCCCAAAGAAAAAGAAAAAAAGGGGGCGTTACGAGTCAAATAGGGCGGCAATCATGCACTGACACGACGCAAATAGGGTGACAGGGCCTTGGCATGGGCAACGCAAGGACCGTGGCATCGCTCCACCCACACACAAACAGGGCGACAGATAGTCTGCACTAAGCAACCACCAAACTCGACAGCCACCACGACATACACAAGCAGACTTGTTTCTCACCCTTCTGGGGTTACACCGCAGCTGTCGCTGCTTTAGTACTGCCAAGTGAGGTGTTGATGCTCTGACTATCCGCAAGATATCGGTAGGCGGTGTCCACGAAGCCGGAGGCCCGTTTCTCTCCCTTTCGTTCAACACGATCGCACATCAGAATCTCGCCTTCACATCTTTCTGCTCCACGCCGCTTTACAACCCGTTCATCATGTCTGACTACTTTCCCAACTTCGACGAATTAGAGGCCTTTATCAACGCCAAGGAGAGCCTCCTCCCTTACTACGCCCAGGACTACTTCGATCCTATGGGCTTCTACCCTTACGACGCCCACGACTACTTCGATCCTATGGAGAGCTTCGACCACGGGGCTACCGCCAGCTTCGCCCTGCCCTCCGAGCCGAGCCACTTGCCCCAGACCGATTGGGCTTTGGGCGCCAATGGCTACAACCCCGTCTATGACACGGGAAATTCCCTCGCCGGGGTCGACATGGCAGAGATGCCATACATCCCAGACATCCCGGGGGATCACTTCTACGGAACTGGTCCTCCAGTGCAACACGCCTTCACGCAGGGCACTGCCCTCTTGGAGCCAAATAATGGCAGCCACGTCTATCCTGCCTTCCTCAATCACAGCTACACCGAATTCGGTCACCCAACCGACTTGATCTTGACTGGACAGCCCTATTTCTCGGCTGACATGATCGGCATGGGCGCAGAACGCCATGCAGATGGGTAGGCTTTTTTTTTTTAGTAGATGCTAACAAAAAGGGTGTCAGTGCAGTGAGCGGGCTTGGCGGGCCTGGCGGGCCACACCCGATAGGAGCGTCCAATCCAGAGTTACACAACATACAAGACATCACTGCTCAAACCACACAGTCCTCCGCTTCCTCCTCAATCATGTCGTCGGTTGACAACGAGGGTCCTGTGAACGCACCACCCGTTGCAGGATTTCGATGCGCAGAGCGTAGCGAGGATTTCCTTGATGATCATCAACTCACCTGTCATGCCCACAAGACTGAACACATACCATACAAATGCAACTTCCCAGGTTGTCATGAGAGGTTTGCGAGACATCTGCAGTATGAAGATCACGAACGCCGTTCGCATACTGAAGGCCATGGAAGAGTCACCGGGGTTCGCCCCTTTTCCTGTGCCCAATGTCAGTCCGAGTTTGAGAATGATACCGGTCTTCGGGATCACGCCGTGGCGGTACAACATCAGCCTTTTCAGTGTACCTGTGGCCAATCATTCTCCCGTCTTGATGTCCTCTACCGTCACATAGACATCTATTCACAAGGCACGCCGAAGCATCCTTGCCGATACTGCAAGCGCCATCGCGGCAGAAACGGCTTCAAGCGAAAAGATCACCTGCGTCAGCATTTGCGAGCTTTCCACAAGTTCAATGCCGAGGAACTGTCCGAATTGCGCCGGTCCAGAAGAGGAATCTATGACGCTCCCAAGACATGCCCACATTCAGGGTGTTTCGGGTATCGCGACGAACATTTTCACGCTCTTGAGGCTGCAGAACAGTACAAAGACCGACCTTTCGACGGTCAGAAGGACTTCAATGAACACATGAAGAAGATCCACGACGAGACTCCTTTCCCCTGTTCCATCTCAGGATGCGATAGGGTCGGCGCCAAGGGCTACCTTCGACAAAAGGCTCTTGTCGATCACCATAAGAAGAAGCATCCCGAACTCGAGGCCTATGTGCCACAGCCACAGTCTCAGGGAGATGCCGCGAGAATCCAGTGTCTATTCCCTGGTTGTGCAAGACTGTTCAAGCGAAGTTATATGAGCGACCACATGATTTCACACACGTTCCCTTGAAACTTTGAATAGGGCACGAGTCTTAAGTAGGACGTGTTAGCAGCCCTATTTGTCTCCAATGTCCACGCAGTAGGATGAGTATTTCTGTTTCAATTCTCTTTTTCATTGTCTCTTTATGAGTCTATTTTACTTTGTCGCTGCTTCAAAGCACGGGTTGTCATCGGCAGTAAGAATGCGATGCTTTCGCCTTGGAACAATTCCACATAAATGAGGCCTCTGGACGACGCAGAATGATTTTCAAAAGCGGATGATGATTGCAAGTAACTTGACCTCACAATAAAAATGAAATTTGCGTAAATGCTACCCCTTGCGAGCGTGCCCCTTCGTTACGTGCAAGTGTTTATGAGTTTTCGAGAGGCTCATAGAATAACAACTGGTTCATTTCGAGGTCAAACCCTTCATATCTTGAACCCTCCGCTACTGATTACCTATACAATCTCAAACTCTTCCAATACGCTCTTCGCACTCCCATACTCTCCTGCCCCAACAAACGGCATATTTAGGCCGAAAGCAGCAGGACCACCAATGGGCATGGCCTTCTCCGTCTTCCACAGCGGGTGAGCAGGCAGTCCGATGACCGAAACACGCAAACCGTATCGCAAATCCTGAGAGCCGATAGCTTCACCGTCTTGACCAAGAATGGAGATCAGGTCCGGCACTGTGCAGATGACCTTGCGCCCCTCTTCGGAGCCGGTACCATCCGTCAGGGCAGCGTAGAGGTACTCGTTCTGGAATGGGATGAGCATGTGTCTGTCTCGAACAGCAGAGGTGGCCTGCAGCCCGGCGAGCGACGATACTTTAGAGGAGTCAAGCTCTTCATCGGCCAGCGGAGCAATGAGTACGCTGCCCATGGTGTAGCCATCGCCTACGAAACGTCGCACATCGATGATTTTGCCCGTGAAGAGGAGCTTGCCGGCACACTGTGCAAAAATAGCATCGATGAAGGACGTTTTGTTCCTGCGAGCGAGATGAACAGCACGGCCGAGGTACCAGGCTTGTGAGAGCGTGTTGGGGACGCCGTGAGCCTTGATTGCGGATCCGGGGAGGGGTCGGGCGGCGACGGCACAGCCGAGACCTAGTTCGATGGCGGCGGTGCGGAGCAGTTTTTCAAGGCGGAAAGGGGTATCAGTGTTCTATCTTTTTTAACATGAATCAGGATGATGCAACCTACAGGGGGCCTACCATGACAATGTTGACGTTGCCGCGAGCGTCGGAGAGGGCGCATGGGGTCAGTGGGTGCCCGTAAACGCTCAGCGTGGCTAGGTTGCTTGTTAGGACGTTCAAAACTGCTAAGAGGAAGAACATGGCACACCTTGGTACATAGTAGGATAGGCCCGGCCCATGGCATCCCCGTCAATAACAGGAATGTCATAGTGAGCAGCAGTGGGAAATGTGCTCATACCGTTGCCGCCCCCCATGTTCAGAAGTCAGTGCTCAATAAAGCAGCAGATTGTGTCAGGCGTGCTTAACTTACATCTCGTCGGTGAAGATGCCGTCGGGCTTATCCTTGCCCAAGATCTTCATGAGGGCATCAATTCCAGCCGGAATCTCGTCCCCTGATGCAATCCTCTCGTTGATGACGCTTGGGCTTCCATACCACGAGCCGAAACAGATGAGGTCGTCATCTTTTACGGATTTGGGCGAGATGATCCGGAGCCTTCCAGGTTCGCTCTTGCGTAATGTATCGAGACTCTTCAGAAACTCGTGGTGAGTAGGGCCACCGCCACCAGTGCCAAGAACGCCGCAGCCCGTCGCAATCAGTTCGAGGTCGACTTCCGAGACGTACCAAGCGCCATTACGGACTTCAGGCCGGTAGGTCTCCAAGTCAACCTTGATGGATGGTCGGAAAGTTGACTCAAGGGCATCGGAGATGTTCGCCTTGGCCGTCTGCTCCTCTTCCTCTTCATCTGACGCAGCGTATACGACGCTGTTGGCTAGCGTTCCATCCTTCGGGACTGCAAGCTTGCCGACAGCCCGAATCTGGATCCTCATGGCGCCGTTATCTACGTACTGCAGGGGAATTTTGTTGATCTCGACGACGCTGACGTCGTCAGCCGCAGCACCTTTGCTGATGGCTTGGTCGATGGCCTTCTGGCACGCCGCGGCGACGACCTCCTTCTCATCTCGGTCTTGGAGGATCTCAATGACGTCGACCTCGCCAGAAATCTTGCCAATGGCGGCACCAACAGCGTTGGCCGCACCTTGGTGGACAGGCTGAATGCACTTGGCCACGCCGTCTAGATCCTCCGTCACTAGCAGTGCACCACCGCCGACCAGGAGAATGTGTACCGGGGCCGCGGATACCTTCATCTGCTCGACGACACCCTCAATCATCTTCTTGATCTTGCGCCGTGCTGCATCAATGGTGGATATCGGCACATTCTCAATGAGCCTGCGGTCTCCAAATTTGGCCTTGCCCATTGCGACCACAATATCCGTCGTCGTCAACGTCGTACCACCAAAAGCGAGAGCCTGCTGCTTCAAAAAGTGCCCCACGGAGCCAGGGCCGACCGTCACCGTCGCCGGATCAGAGCCGACGTGCACTTTGCTGCCGCCGCCGAGCCCGATGGAGACAACCTCGGGCATGGAAAAAGCCGTCCGCACACCACCGACTTCCACAAAGCCGGGGGCCTGCCGGGGGAAGCCCGAGGGGAGAAGCGCACAAACGTCCGTTGTTGTGCCGCCGATATCGACCACCAGGACCTGCGGCTCAACGTCGTCTTCCGGAGTCTCGCCACTGGAGGCCGAGTTCAATATTCGCGTCTGATCCAGGCCAGCCAGGAAGGCGGCGCCCGTCATGCTGTTTGTGGGACCGCTGGCAAAGGTCTTGATGGGGTACTCAGCTGCGGCGTCGGCATCGATCAGGGTGCCGTCGTTCTGCGACAGGTAGAGGGGGCACGCCAGATTGAGCCGCGACATGGCGGCCTTGAAGCCAGAGGTGACTTTTCTCGCAGTGCGCAGAATGGCGGCGTTCAGAACCGTGGCGTTTTCTCGTTCGAGAAATCCAGGAGGGCCGATATCGTGAGAGCAGACAACATCGAGCTCGGGGGCCGTTTCGAGCAGGATCCTCTTGCACATCTCCTCGTGGACGCCGGCGTGGTCGAGCGGTGCAAAGATGCCAACGAGAGCCACCGACCTGACGCCGCTGGCGAGGATGTCTCTCGCGACTTGCCTGATCTGGTCATGGCCGAGCGGCGCAATCTCACGGCCGTCAATTTCGAGACCGCCATCGAGATAATGGGCACCTCCATCGAGCACGCGCCTCAGACCAGCGGGGAAGTCAGAAAATGGTGGGATCTGTCTCGTAAACGCGCCACAGAGACGCACAACGGCGACGCGGCTCAGTCTTCGTGCATCAGCCTCAACCAACGCATTGATGAAGTGGGTTGTGCCAATGGTGACGTTCAACACGCGGGTCTGATCGACAGCCGAATTTTGCAGAATGGCACGGATGGCGGCCTCGATGCCGCTCGAAATATCGGGTGTGGTTGATGCTTTGTGCGATGCCAGGACACCGCGGTCCGGCGTGTCAACTGAAGTAATGTCGAGAATGGCGGCATCCGTGTTTGTGCCGCCGACGTCGACGCCGACACGATAGAGGGGCGCGGTGTGATGTCTGACCAGCATGACGATAGCTGTTAATGATTGTTCAACTTGATTTTTTGGACATTGTTTGATATTGAAGCCTCTGATGGCTTTAATATTGGTAGTTGATGGTCCAATTGAGGTTCTACTCCTCCTATTTGCAGGTTCCCCGCAAGGAGGTGCTAAGTTCCCCGATGTGCCCTATTCGATACTTGGACCATCTCCCGCGTCGGCAAACCGAAGTCATCGGCCAACTATCGGCGACGTTCTGGACGAAACAAGTTGGCCGATCATATGACTCCCCTAGCGATTGGCGTATGCTGAGGACGCTCTCCCCACCTTGCCTCCCGGACTCGGCATCTGGGTGAGCAGACAGTTCGATAAGCATTTGGGGTCGGCAATGTAACGTCCTGGGATGGTTATATGAATCGAACCTCCACCCACCTGTAGCAATCCTCCCTGCGTCATGAAGATTGTGCCCCAATTGACACAAGGTCGCACGTCGTTGCGCCGAGCCGACCACGACCAACTTTCACTGACTTGGCTTTCATCTTACCCAAGCGCTCAACGTTGGCCCTACAAGACAAGATGGGCTTCAAAAGACTTGATCAAGCGTGCCCAGCTTCCTCACGTCAATCGGTGGATTGTGAGCCATCCCAGAACTCGACATGCTGCCTGTCACGATTCATGATGTTCTCCGGCGTAGATGTAGCTTCGATTGACTCTGTCTCGGACCCTGCTGACGCTCCAAGAACGATGACATTCGGCCGATCGAAACAGAGCGACGGACATGGGGCTACCTCGAGTATCACAACTTTTGTAAGTCGGGCTCCCTAAGATACCTGTACGGTATGAGTACCAAACGACGATTCGTGTCCAGGGCTCCTCATCAACTGCAACATCGCGACATACATGACCGGTAGCGCCCTCATCCCTTTCGGCCTAAACTGGTATCAGGCTTTCATCTCCATCATCATCGGCAACGTCATTGCCACTGTAGCTGTCATACTCAACTCTCTGCCAGGCAGCTACTACCATGGTCAGTTCACGTTGTCCTGCATACTCTCCTTGATGAAGACTGCGGACTAACACGACTCTCGCACAGTTGGTTTCCCTGTCTTCAGTCGAGTCGTCTGGGGCATGTGGGGGTCTCAATTCACTATTTGGAACCGCATCTTTCTCTCTCTTGGTAGGCCCCCTGACACATGAACACGATGGTGACTATGGATGACGGCTAACAAAGCATCGCGCAGTCTGGTCAGAAATCCTCAACATGTCTAAAATAACACTGAATACTGACATACCCTAGGTACGGATTCACGGCGTGGGTGGGCGGCCAGTGCCTCCACGTTATGTTGCTTTCTTGGGACCCCAAGCTGGAGGAGCATATTCCCAACACGATCCCCGACGGCACCGGCATGACAACTGCCCAGTTCGTATCGTACATTATCTTCTCCGTCATCAGTCTGCCGTTGCTCTATATCCGGCCCCATAAGCTGCAGAAGTTCTTTTACGTCGCGTGTACCGTCACCCTAGTCTTCTTCATCGTCATCCTCATCTGGTCCCTAGCGACTATGGGACCTTCTGGGTTTGGCGATACCCTCTCGAACGAAAGCACCCTCCCCGCCACAGGTGGCCCGATGAGCGTCGCATGGCTCATGATCTATGGCATCGTGTCGACAGTCGGCTCCATCGCCGCTGGCATTCTCAACCAGAGTGACTACTCTCGCTTCTCCAAACAGCCCCGCCATGCATTTTGGGGTCAGACCGTATCTTTCCCGCTTTATGGTATCTTCGGTTCCCTCATCGGTATCCTGGTCACGGCGGCGACGCAGGATCGCTTCGGTGGCGAAGCCATTTGGAGTCCCCCGACCCTCTTCGCTCGCCTCATTCAAGACAACCCCGATCACGCAGGCACCCGCGCCGCCGCCTTCTTCGCCGGGCTCAGTCTCGTCGTCGCACAACTCGGTGTCAACGTCTGCGGCAACGGCATCGCCGGCGGCTTCGACCTCGCCGCCATCTTCCCCAAGTACATCAACATCCGACGTGGTGCTTACATTACCGCACTGCTTAGCAGCGTCGTCAACCCCTGGCGTCTCGTCAACACGGCGACCATTTTCCTTGTCGTGCTTTCGAGCTACAGCGTCTTCCTCGCACCGATGACGGGTCTTATGGTCGCGAGCTACATGTTTGTTAATAAGAGGAAGTTGAGCATCGACGACATGTACAGTGGTGGCAAGGAGAGCATCTACTGGTACACCGCCGGTCTGAACTGGCGGGCCCCCGTCGCGGTAAGTATCATACCCTCTCTCTCCGCGCATCCGTGTCCCACGTCACGCGACACCGGCGTCATGAAACGCGTTGCTGACGATATATCATCAGTGGCTCATCGGTGTCATCCCCTGCATGCCGGGCTTCATTGCCGCCGTCACCCCCAATGTAACAGTCACAGATGGCGCGACGGAGCTCTACTACATGTCGTATGTCTACGGCTTCTTGTCCGCTGGCACCGTGTACATTTTGTTGCACCGCTTCTTCCCTGCGAAGGCTGTTGATGCCTTTGTCAGCGAGAGTCCCTCGCCCAAGGAACTGCGGGAAGCGACATATGGGCATTGGGATGTTACTTTGGCGGAAACATACGATCATCTGGAGGCGACGAGACTGGGAGGCGAGAAACCTGCCAAGAAGATCTCAGCGACCCCGGTAACAAAGGTCTGAAGGAGAATCTTCTCTCGGTTTCAAGAAATTACATCCCGGACTGTGCACATTCTTTCCGTCTAATGTTGTTCTAGTATTGCCAACATATTACAATTATCACGTATGATGCTTGACAATGACCTCTTTCTGAACTGTACAGTGACATGATAGGGAGACTAAGCAGTCGTCCGGTTGATGATATCGATAGACATCGCTTGGATGAACTTGGTCGCCTGCAGCCTTGGCCTCGATTCGACCCCACGAGGGTTCTTCGTTAGATAGGGATGAACGGGGATCAAGTCTGGGGAAATGCATTACCCCAGAGACGGGTTTGCCGAGTCTCGTGTGGAATGGACCTCGTCCCAGAGCGTCGGGCCTCTGCTGACTTGAATCTGGCCCAGGTCCCCACATGGCCTGGCATGAGACGGGAATAGAGATCACTTGTACACAGGCCGGCCGAGATGAGGCGCTGCCGCTGAGATGACAGCAATCCTCTGGGCAACAAAGAAGCCAATGCGGCGTCGTATGCCACAGAATACGGCGCCCTGACTTCCCATGCTCGTCCACTTCCCTTCCATGCCAGCGAGTCGCACAACTGATGGCCAAACACGGCCAGCTCGCCTTGCCAAATTGGCTGACGAAAGGGTCAACTAAGCCTGACAAGGGCAAGCGCTGGCTGGGATGGGTGGAATCCTTCGGCAAACTCCTGATCGGCAAAGAAACCCATCGGCGAACAACCACGATTCAACAACCTCAATCTAGCCTGACAAGCACCCGGCTCCGACGACCCACGACACTCGGATCACTTGGCCGATCTCTTTGAAATGATACCCGGACAGACAGTGTCTGCTCAAGCAGGCCAGCGTCGCCGGTTCACCATTCAAAGCGACTTCGGTAGTGCCAGACAATCGAGGAGCCGAAAGAGTCGGCCATGCGATGCGTGCCGGAAGCGCAAGACGGCCTGCGTCATCAGGTCGGCGCCACCATGTGAGCGTCGGATAGATTCCCATGTCAAATTATCCTTGCTAATGAAAACGTTCAGGTGTTTTCTGCAAGACGAGGGGTCTGGATTGTCAGTCTTCCGGCCCCGCTGCGAGGACCAATACACCACCACCAGTCTCGCCTGGGGCCACCTCCGAGCTGCCTGAACGCGTCCCAACCCTGTCTCCCGAGGTTGTCGTGTATTACAACCCCCAGCTACCGGCTCACACTCATGCAAGTCCTTCGGTCGACGCGTCAGCCGGGGCCGTCCGACTCGATGCAGTCGGCATCTCGCCGGGCGGATTACCGATCTCTCACCCCTCCTCGTGCGGCCATCGCCGTCTCCGCTATCGAACATTGAAGACAATCCCGCCAGACGTCCACAGTATGGGTCTAGCTGCCGAGCAGGACGCGAACCTCCTCAGTTCATTCCGCTCCGTCATCATGAACGGCCTCGAGATCGACGCCGAGTTCGTCCAGGTGTGTCCTGGTTCGCAAGAGACGGGCAAGCCTCCGGTGCACTTTTATCTCGTCGTCAACGAATTCTTCCCTCACGACGACAAGGTCAAGGAGGAGTGCTCCGACGCCATTGAGGAGCTTGTGGCACCGCACAGCGACGGCCTCGTTCGGGCGTACTTCAAGCACGTGCATCCAGTCCTACCAGTCGTCTCCAAGGGCCGGTTTCTGAGGCGGTACGCCGAGAACAGGCGGCAGATGCCCGCTTCTCTCGTGGCGCGATCTACGCCTTGGCATGCGTCTTTTGGGATCAGGAGCCTTCTTTGGCAGGGCCGTGTCCCTTTGAGCAGCACGCAGTCGCCGACATCGCCTTGACGTCGCTGCAGAGAGAGCTAGACTCTCCCAACCTCGACAAGCTGCAGGCGAGCCTGCTGCTGCTGCACTTGAAGCCCTGCGACGTCGACAGCGTGGAGCACCCTCGAACGTGGACCAAAACGGCCGAGACCGTGGCCTGCGCGCAGATGATTGGGCTTCATCAGGATGCTGATTTGTGGAATATCCCGGTATGGGAGAAGAAGCTCAGAAAGAAAATGTGGTGGGCAACTTTTGCCGCCGACGTATGGTCGTCTCTGGGTCACGGCAACCCACCGCACATCTATCCTGGCTCGTACAGCACGTCGCAATTGACAATGGACGACATGTCTTTTGACGAGGATGTTCCTGCCGACCTCCAACAATTTACTGATACGACCAGTAGTAGTAGCAAGCAGCGATTCACGGCTGTGCGTTTTCTGGAACATGTCAAACTGGCACAGATTCTGCGCGAGGCTCTCGGTATAAGTTTCCAAGTTCCTCGGAATACGACCACGGACGAGAGCTTCATGAGTCGACGGCGAACATTAATAGACATGAAGGCCGATTTGTCGCACTGGCAGGACATGCTGCCTCGATGCCTGCTCATGCCCACGCACCCGTCAGACCTGACATGCCACAACGCGGCGATCCACCTCGGCGACTACGCCACGCAAGCCCTCCTCTTTCGTGGCCTCATGGCACCGGCCACGAGGGCGGCAAGGTCAGAACCCGCGTCCAACCTGCGGAAATGGTTTCCCGTAGCTCTGGGCGAGTTCGCAGGCTTTCCAGCGTACATGGCACGCATCAACCTGCAGGATTTGAACGGGTTCTGGGGTCGCCACGCCCGCTCGCAGCTCATCCTCTGCGGCAACTTTCTCATCTACCTCTTTCTTCTGGCAGCTGACAAGGAAGACGTCAGGGCGGCGTATAGTCTCATTGACAGCTTCCATGGGTCGCTGTCGCGGCTGGAGAGCTTGGCAGGCCCGGCAGCAATGCTGCTCATCGGGCCTGTGGCTCTGCGGATGAATTCCTTCTTCGCACAGGCACCGGATCTGATGAGAGGCTTGTCGCAGGTGGAAGGGCTGACGCCTGGTGGCTAGGCTATATGGTGAGCCCTCTGATGTCGGGCGAAAACTCTTGTATGGAGGCATTGCTGCGGACGCATCGTCAATGCAGTCTTGATCAGAGATGAACCTCCAGCCATTCCCCACACCTTCAGCTAGCAAAGGACTTCTGGGACGTCGAAAGTGGAACCTCGGCAGTTTTGAGCGCTTTCGTTAATAAATACGAAATACGACGGATGAGTGACGGATGTCGGTGCTCCTAAACGAGCGTCAGAGCGAGCTATCCCCACTTACCTTTACACAACATCACTGTAAAGCACATACTTGGAAGTCTCTGATACCCTTGATAGAGCTTTTCTTGATGTATTTCAGCTTGCCGCATACAACATGGTTCTTCTTGATCCCGAAATTCATTCTGCGTACCCAATCAAAAGAACGGGTCGCATAAGTAAGGATAGCTGTTAGCATTGGGGGAGACGAAACATACTGTCAGTTAAGGTCGACACTCAAAACTTCTTCCAGGCTACTTCTGTTATCCCAAGAGCCTGGTGCTGGGAAAGTTAGAAAGTGGAAGTGAGAGGCAAAAGATGGGCGGCCCTGACATGCCATGAGGAAATCAATATGCCATTTGTTCATTTGGAGATTTACACAATGTGAGAAGCCGATGCCGGTGATCACAATGAATGCTGGGTACGATAAACGAGCTCTCGTACAGGGTTGGCCTTCGTGAACGTGAGCGACCGGCCTTACACATCGGCTCCTAGTAAAATGTCTTTCCTGACGGGCATGTGTGCTTCTAGCCCACACCATTGGCGTAGCCTTTGGAATTGATACCCCTCGATCTCCATATTCCGACTCATGTTCCATCCTGGTTTCGGCCCGTTGGTCTCTTGTCTATGCAGTAGTAAAAGGGGCGGGGCCTCACGGGGACCCTTCTCCTCGTATGACCTCGTTTCTGGGCTACGCCATCCATCAGGAGTGACCAATACTGTCACCTAGGTCGCGAGCCTGTTCCACTTATCAATGGAAAGGACAAGGTATTGAGCCGTGAACCCCGGGTTTTCCCCACGAAAAGAAGGGCCGAACACGGTCGTCCATACGATAGACTAGTTCTTCATCATCGCTAGCCTTCCGGTCAATCTTGCGAAGGTGGCCGCTCTACGTCAGCCTCGTCATCTCCGAGATCCATCATCTAAATCCAAGCTCACGCGGTGTCCGGCAAGGCGTTCGGGGCCATAGAAGACGCATAATAGTAAGCCTTGAAGTACGTCATCAAGATGGGCCTTATGAGAGAGCTCAAGATGAACACTCCTAAGTAGTGGCTCCAGTCGGCTACAAGTAGAGCTCGCTCCTAGATGATTCTTCAGCGTTTCGTCAACTCTGTCACTCTCTACAAACATCAAGGGCTGCAGCAGATCATACCAGTAATATTGGCCGCGGCAAGATGGTTAACATTACCAGAAAGCTCGCCGTCCTCGGAGGCATCGGTGTTGCCACAGCCCTCACGGATGGCGGCCATTTCGAAACCGTGCCGACATACCCAACCCGTACGTGTGCCACCAGAAGCTTTTCTACTTTCCGCAATGCTAACAGAGCTCGCAGCCGAGAGCATCGGAACAGGCTGGGAGGCTGCTTTCCAGAAAGCGACCGATGCAGTCGCCAAGTTAAACCTGACACAGAAGGTCGCCTTGACCACTGGTGCCACCATGGGTTTGTCCTGCAACGGTAACATCAGCCCAATCGAGGAGATTGGCTTCTCTGGGTACTGCTTGGCGGATGGACCCGTGTCAGGTACGAAAAGATCGGCGGAAAAGCTCACGATGTAGCGCTAATATAGACCGGTTCAGTCAGAATCGCCGACCTGGCAACCGTGTTCCCTGCAGGCCTGACGGCGGCGGCGACATGGGACCGAGATCTGATCTATCAGCGCGGAAAGGCCCTCGGCGCAGAGTTTCGTGGCAAAGGAGCACAGGTGCACTTGGGGTTAGTCCAGTCTTCGACCGCCAGCATGTGCCATACTTAGGTAGACACTGACGTGTGTGTTCGTGTCTAAAGGCCCGCGTCTGGCGCCCTCGGGCGTCACCCCCTGGGAGGGCGCAACTGGGAGAGCTTCTCTGTAGACCCATTTCTCACGGGTGTCGCCATGGACTTTTCCATCCGAGGCATTCAGGAAATGGGCGTCCAAACCAGCGCGAAGCACTTTATCGGCAACGAACAAGAGACGCAGCGCTCCAACACCTTCACCGAGGACGGGCTGGAGGTCGCGGCGCTGTCGTCCAACATTGACGATCGCACAATGCATGAGCTCTACCTCTGGCCCTTTGCTGACGCAGTTCGTGCCGGCGTCGCCTCCGTCATGTGCAGCTATAACAGGGTCAACCAGACATATGTCTGCGAGAATTCCAAGATCCTCAACGGCCTTTTGAAGGACGAGTTGGGCTTTCAGGGGTACGTTGTGTCCGACTGGTTTGCAACCCACTCTGGCGTAGCATCCGCCGCGGCCGGTCTCGACATGACCATGCCAGGAGCCATGAACAGTGCGGCGACGGCTATCTTCCCCACGCCGTCCTACTTCGGCGGTAACCTGACGGCGGCCGTGTTGAATGGCACTTTGACCGAGGAGAAGGTGAACGACATGGCCCGCCGAGTTCTCACCCCCTATTTCTACCTGAACCAGGATGAAGACTTTCCGTCGATCGACCCATCAACTGGTTTCGTCTTCGCCAGGACGTACAACTATCCCGATATTTACCTTACTGGAGCTGGAATGGACCCGAACAATCCACCGCCTGCTCGGGACGTCCGCGCTAATCACGCTGATATTGTGAGGAAGGTGGCCGCTGCTGGCACCGTCCTCCTGAAAAACACAAATAATGTTCTACCCCTTGGTAAACCCAAAAGTGTCGGCGTGTTCGGTAACGGAGCGGCCGATGTGACGCAGGGCCTGACCTTCACCGGCGATGACAGCGGGCCTTGGGGTCCCAACATCGGCGCGCTATCCGTTGGCGGAGGTTCGGGTGCCGGCCGACACACGCGTCTCATCTCACCTCTGTTCGCTTTGCGCGGTCGGATTGAGGACTACGGGGGCAGGGTTCAGTACTTGCTGGACAATCACATGATGGTGGAGGATGACTTTACGTCAATCTATCCCACGCCAGAGGTCTGCTTCGTTTTCCTCAAGACCTGGGCACGTGAAGGCACCGACCGCCTCTCGTTCGAAAACGACTGGAACTCGACTGTCGTCGTAGAGAACGTGGCGCGCCGCTGCAACAACACAATCGTGATTACGCACTCTGGCGGCGTCAACACGATGCCCTGGGCTGACAACGAAAACGTGACGGCCATCCTGGCCGCTCACTATCCCGGTCAGGAGAACGGCTACTCCATTTCGGATGTTCTTTTCGGCGATGTCAACCCGTCAGGCCGCCTACCCTATACGATCCCGAAGAAGGAGTCTGATTATGATTTCCCCATCGTCAACATCACCGGTGACGCAGCCCGTGATTCAGCGGCGTGGCAGGCAGATTTCACAGAAGGTCAATTCATCGACTACCGCCACTTTGATGCCAAGAACATCACGCCTCAGTACGAGTTCGGCTTTGGCCTGAGCTACACGACATTTGAAATGGGATCCAATGCGACGTTTGAGAGGAAGTGCGCTGGCATCTCGCCGCTTCCCCCTCAGACGAACGGCACCCACCCTGGCGGCAATCCAGCTCTGTGGAAGGAGATTGGCTCCGTGACAGTGACAGTCAGGAACACGGGCGATGTGGCCGGCGCGCAGGTTGTGCAGTTGTACATGGCATTCCCCCAAGCTTCGGTGCCAGAGGGTACTCCTGTGAGCGTGCTGCGTGGGTTCGAGAAAGTGAGTCTGCAGCCGGGAGAGGCCAAAAGTGTGACGCTCCCTCTCCGACGGCGCGATGTGAGTTTCTGGAACGTCGTTGCGCAGAACTGGGAGATTCCAAGCGGAGATTTTGAGTTCCGGATGGGATTCAGTTCGAGGGACATCAAGACAGCGGTCACCTCCAGCTTCGTGGTGTAGAGTATACGGTACGAATATTGAGCCATCTGGCGCTTAGAATTGGTCTGCAGCCAAATGTAATTAGCACAAACTCGTGACAGTTACAAGGCAGCTCAACACTGCAATGCTGTCATTGCGGTATCTTTCGTGACATTAATTAGCTACAGTGCCTCTATCCGTCTCCGTTTGCATTGTCCACCTTAAGCCGTTTGACTCGATGCTATTGCTTTTGGCCTGCCTCAACTCGGCGTATCGGCGAAACCTGGACAGGGCACAAAAGGGATCCCAGGGGAGCAATCTTCCTCGCACGTGGTCCCGCTTCTCGGGACCTTTCCAATGTCAAAGTACGTCCGCAAATGCTGCGCAGTGCACTCGCTCCTGGAGGTGACCAAAGCGCAGTGGCCCACAGACTCCTGGATGACGACGGCCGATCCGGGATAAAGCGTCGACAGATGTTCGGCGTTGGCAAGTGGTGTAGCATGGTCGTGTCGCGTCGACAGAATCAGGAGCGGAGCCGCGGGCTTGTCTTCTGTCTTCGAAAGGTCGAGATCCAAGTGGCCGAACGGACCCCTAAAGGCGTATTTCGGCTGAAACGTCCACCCCGAACAGGAAAGCGGAATCCGCGCCCAAGGCTCTCCAGCAGTTGGTGACTGGGCATCAAGCTGCTCGACTATACTCGCAGCCCAGGAAACGTTGTTGCGCTCGCCGGCCTTGATAGCGGAATCGCCACAAAGCACACCCATTCCGGCCTCGCTGTCCCAGGTGTAATTCTGAGGAGGGTAGTAGTCGCCTGGCACGACACAGACATCCTTGCGCTCGTAATTGTTGACCGCTGGACTCTGCAGTAGAAGGCTGTAATCGCCCGCAAGGGTGGTGGCGAGAACAATGGAAAGCAGTTCGTATGCCTTGATCGGTGAATAGAGAGCTCGGCGTATGGTGTCGCGGATGATGAGGGACGTGACAAAACGGACGCGGCCTCCGGCAAACGGTTATGATGGGGGTTTTGACCAACTCCTGTATGAAGTCGTCCACGCGCTTCCTGATGTCAGCCGCGCTGCCATCTGATTCCTGTTTCAGGAGACAGAGGTCTCCGGCGTGGAAGCAAGTCTCATAGAACTTGTCGACGACAACTTCAGCATCGTTGAGGTTCTTCGCCCAAGTCTAATCTTCATCAGCACTCAAAGAGCCATCCAAGATCAAGGATCAGAGAGAGAGAAAGCCTTACACCGCTGATGTAGTCGTCGGCGTCGGCTACGCCATCAAGCACCATCCTTCCCACGCGGCCCGGAAACATGGACGCAAAGGTATGCCCAAAATGGTGCCGTACGAAATGCCAAAATACTGCAGTTTCGGCAGCTCGCGCTTCTCATCCTCCGCCGAGGTCAAGTTCTTGTGCCGCAACTCGTCAACGCGATCCACAATCTCGACCATGTCGCGAGCCACAGAGGCGGTCGACATGTAATTGAAGATGCTGTCCTCCCCAGCCTCTGCACAGAGGTCACTCAGGCCCCTTGCCGCTTGGTACTGGTAAGTCAGAGCTTCAGGGCCGGAAGTAATCGCCGGCAGCCCCTCTTTCTGGATGAAATCGGCGGCTCGTTTGAGGTCATCATTGTAACAGTCGGCGCGAGGGGTGCTCAGTGCCACACCTCGTGGGTCGAACCCGAGGATTTCATAGTGTCGATCTCCGTCCAAGATTGCCTGTATATAAACCCCGATGTCCAATGCCATTTCAGTGCCGCCCCCGCCAGGGCCGCCCGGGTTGATGAGAATTGTGCCGCCGAATGACGGGTCGGTCTCGGGAACGGACGCCGGGAGGGTGACTATGCCGATGGCAGCCCAGCGGGACGAGCTTGCGCATTTTGACGAATTGGCAGTTGTCCAGTCGAGCGGCACCTTCAAGCGCGCACACTTGAACCTGTCATAGCAGTCGTGGTACTGCAAGCTGCGTGAAGGTTTGACGGTGGCCCAGTCGAAGCTGTCATCACTGAACTGTCGCTTCTGCAAGAAGGCAGAACTGGTGCCGGCTACTGTGGAGAGAAATACAAATATGGAACCTGCGGGCAACTTCATGATGATAAGTACAGCAGGTGATCCGTGAAGGTGGCGTTCGGAACACACAACAAGTACATGATCGACATTCAATAGAGTGGCCTTATCTTCTCTTGCTGCTATATATATCACCTCGCGTAGGCAGCCACTGTGCTAGTGGATCATGTCGGGATGCATACAAAAGTTCCTCGGAAACAGACTCTCAAGGATGCGAAATAGTTTCGTCTCTCTCGACCGCCGCGAACGAAAGCGTGACCGCGCCGTGCCACAAGCGCACACGTCGGCACTTGGGCCATCCGGAGAGCGTGCCTCTCCCCATTGGGCGCATCGTCAATTGCAAAATCCTACCCTGCAAGTCAGCTGCATGGCGAGGATAGCATTCAATTTGAACGTGCTTCGACAGCGAGCTACGCCTCGCTGTGCCGCGTGGCGCCACAAGGCGAGAAGATGAGCGCAGGCACAGTTCGCGAGCAGTGAAATAGACGACGTAGCCAATCCCAAGGAACTTTTGCTGCCCAGTCCAACTACCGAGCTTCGTCGCAGCGAAAGGGGGGGAAAGATAGAGAAGCGAAGAAAATGTCGAGAACCACGAGGAAGAGCACGCCAAGAGTGAGGACTGGATGCCAGACATGTCGGTAAGTGCCAAGCGTCTGTCTACACCTCGCGACTCCGAGATCAACCGGGTTCCTGCATTACCAGCTGTTTGACTCTGACCAAACAAGCATCCGGCGTGTCAAGTGCGACGAGGCAAAGCCCAGCTGTCTCAAATGCACCCAGACGGGCCCGCAAATGCGACGGCTACGCAGCACGAACGCCCAGCAGCGTTCTGCTCTCACCGCAAACCTCCGATGACGAGGTCGCCGGCCGCCGGTCGCCGCTGGGCCTGGCGGCCATCAAGGCCTACTCGATCCCGTTCCGCATGCCCGGCAGCCAGCGCGACCGGCAGCTCCTCCACTACTTCTGCGTGCAGGGGGCGAACGAGTTCGCGGGCTTCGTGCCCAACGAGTTCTGGTCCAGGACGGCGCTCTACGCGAGCCAGAACGAGACGATTGTGCGGCAGTCGCTCATCGCGCTGAGCGCGCTGCACCTCGACCTCTCGAACGGCGGGTGCAGCCGC